AATTTAAAATGGCTGCTGCTTGTTAGCTGCTTTTCTTTGAAGTGACAGAAAATTCTACTCCTCTCAATTTCATGAGGGTCAATCCCCTGCTACAAAGTCTCCCTTCTCTTCATGTGGGGCACTAATACATAATCCAGTCTGATGAGGACTATCTCTGATCACATTCTACCCATTCATAGCATTTCAGTACAAATCCTGTGCTTGGAAACTAAGGAGGAATCACAAAATGTTCTAATACCTGGGGCTGAAGGGCCAGTGTGAGACAGGATATCAAGCTGTGCAAAAAGGACAGATCACAGATGAATATTTATCTATCAGCAACAGCTGATTCATTTCACTAGTTCTGAAGTTGCATACTTGGCAGTAATGACGCACATGTTTTACACTGCATGAAATGTTATCTTTTGAGCAGACAGATATCTTTAGTCTAATACAACAATTCTCAAACTGTGGGTTGGGACCCCAAAATGGGTCATGACCCTGACCCCATTTTAAAGAGGTCACCAGGGCTGGCATTAGACTTGTTGAATCCAGGGTCCAAAGCCTGAGTCCCACTTCACGGGGGCCAAAGCCGAAGCCTGAGGGCTTCAGCCCTGGGTGGTGGGGGCTCAGGTTACAGGCCCCCTGCTTGGAGCTGAACCCCTTGGACTTTGCCCTTCTCCCCCCCCACCCCACCCCAGAGTGGTGAGGCTTGGGCAGGTTCAGACTTTGGTCCCCCATCATGGGGTGTAGTAATTTTTGTTGTCAGAAGGGTGTCGTGGTACAAAGAAATTTGAGAACCCCGGTTCTAATAGATACCAGAAACCAATTGTCCTGGTCATATTGAGTCATGTTGTGATACATGTAGGCATTGCTTTTCCCTCTGCTGGAAGAGACTTGTGAAATATAATTATAACCTCTTCACATAAATCAACAAGGAAGGAGAACATAGGTCATGAAGCAGAGCCCTACTATTCCACTCACATTCATCGCCAACAAAATTACCATTGCAGATACAGCCCATGAATACTAGGAAAATAATTTATTTTGTTTATCTTTTTCAGTTGGCCTCAGCACAAATATTTTCCTTGAAATTGCTGTAGTTGTGCAATAGTTAAGCTATACAGTACACATGTAGGGGGAAATGGCATGTTGGTTTATGCTGTGAATTCTTGTTTCTTTTTTAGTTTGTTCTCAGTTATGGGAAAGCAAGAAAGTCTGAAGAACTATGACTGTAAATAACCAACCAGTGGCAATGCTCCTGGGTGGGCTACAACAGTTCCATACTGGAAACTGTTGCCAGTCTGTTAATACCAACCATCACTGTATTCTCTCTCACTGCCAGGCTGTGTAGCCAATCCTCTGTATATTTGATGAGGGCAAATATGTGGCATTGGCAATGTACATGCCCACACAAACAGAAATGTAAATATATGGGTGATGGATTTCTTTGCTAATTGGGGCTTATTGTTTATTGAGTATCCAAAAATGCACTAGGTGTTCTATAGAGTAAGTAGAAAGACATAGTCCCTACCCTAATTTTAGAAATAATGCAATGTGTGGGAGTAACAAACAATAGGGAAGGGTTAGGATGAGGGTTACAGCACTGAGGCCATGCAGTTACTCTGTACAAGCATGTGTACATCCTGATGGCTCAATGCAACTTTTTAAATGATTATTATTAACACACTCTCAGAGAATGAGGCTCCACCTCAAACCTTAGTGCCTGCATTACAATCCTTAAAGCAGGCTTTGCATCTGCTATTCCTCGTGGCATCAGCCATACCTCATTCAGGCATGTCACCTGGCCAGTTTACACCAGTGGCACATTTCAGTCATTGTCTTGTTTTTCTGGCTGTTACATCCTCTTATATTCCCCATCACCTCATCAGAGTTTCATATGGCTCACCCCAACCACACATGTCCTGAATATGATTAATACAGTGTGTGCTTTGCTGGATAGTTTAACTCAGAAATGTAAGTCTCTGTCTATCTTAGGACTTTATACCGCCACCCATCACTGTAGTTTCTGAGCACCCGTCTTTATCTTTAACGTGGTTATTGCCTAGTGAATAAAGGGGAAGCAGTAGATGTGATATATCTTGATTTTAGTAAGGTTTTTGGCAGTTTCCCATGACATTGTCATGCGCAAACAAGGGAAATGTGGTCTTGATGAAATGTCTGTAGAGGTGGGTGCAGACAGGGCAGTCCCTAGGTGGGTGCGGGCCCAGGGACATCAGAAACTTGGAGCCTATCTGCTGGGGGGTGCTCCCCACCAGCATCGCCCAGGCCCTGCTCCCACTCCACCCCTTCCCCTAAGGCCCTACCCCTGCCCTGCCTCTTCCTGCCCCGCCTCTTCCCCACCCAGTTCCGCCCCCTCCCCTGCATGCACTGTGTCCTCGCTCCTTCCCTTTCCCCCCCAGCGCCTCCTGACACCATGAAACATCGGATCCACAACACGCGGTAGGAACTGGGAGGGAGAGGGAGGTGCTGATTGGTGGGGCCTGCCAGTGGGCAAGAGGTGCTGGGAGGAGGGAGAGGTTCTGGTAGGGGGGGCTCCTCCTCACCTCCCCGCTCACCTGCCTGCCTGCCACTCGCCTCCCCGTTCACCTCCTCACCCCACTCACCCACCCACCTCCTGCCTCACCTCCCCACCCACTGGGCCCCCCAAAGTGCGAGGCCCAGGGCGGTTGTCCAGATTCTCCGTACCCAAGGGACAGCTCCAGGTGCAGAGCTGGTTGACAGACCATACTCAGAGCAGTTATCAATGGCTTGCTGTCAAACTGTGAGGGCATATCTAGTGGAATTTGGCAGGGGTCAGTCCTGGGTCCAGTACAAGTCAATATTTTCATTAATGAGTTGGCTAATGGAGTGGAGAGTATGCTTTATAAAATTTACAGATGACAACAGTCTGGGAGGGGTTGCAAGCATTTTGGAGGATTGTTTTGAATTCTAATCCTATCTTGACAAATTAGAGAATTGGTTTCAATGCAACTAGATGAAATTTAATACAGATAAGTACAAAGTACTACTCATAGGTAGGAAAAACTAAAGGCTAATATCTTTCTGGGTGTATTAACAGAAGAGTTGTATATAAGAAACGGGAGGTAATTGTCCCAGTCTACTTGACACTGGGGAGGCCTCATCTGGAGTACTATGACCAATAATGGGCACCACACTTTAAGAAAACCTTGGACAAATTGGAAAGAATATAGAGGAGAGCAACAAAAAATATAAAAAGGTTTAGAAAACCTGACCCTGTGTGGAAAGGTTAAAAAAAATGGGCATGTTTAGTCTTGAGAAAAGAAGGCTGAAGGGAGACCTGATAAGAGTTTCCAAATATGTTACGATGAGGATGGCGATCAATTGTTCTCTGTTTCCACTGAAGGTAGGACCAGAAGTAATGGGCTTGATGTGCATCAAGGGAGATTTAGGTTACATATTAGGAAAAGCTTTCTCACTGTAAAGGTAGCTAAGCTCTGGAATAGGCTTCCACAGGAGCCTCTGGATTCCTCTTCACTGCAGTTTCAGAACAGGATGGGAAAACAACCATCAGGGCTGGTCTCTGTTTACTTGACCCTGCCTGCATGCCGGGGGGTGGACTTGATGACCTCTCAAGGTCCCTTCCAAGCCCTACATTTCTATGGTTCTATAAAATCCATAGTAATAGAGGAGTCCCTAGAGGATTTCATGGTATCTCTGGCACTTCTCTTTTTGAGGTAAGTGTTCTACTTGGGATAGAGTTTGTATTTTCTTATTTGTTGTGTAAAATTTTTTTACAAGTGCCAGTGATTTAGGAGCGTAAATTCCATTTAGGGGATTAGGCTCCAAAGGGCCTAAGAGCCAGATTTTCAAAGGTATTTAGGTGCCTAAAGATGCAGATAGGCACCTAGTTGGATTTTCAAAAAAGCTTCTAAACAGATTAGACGCATAATCCCAATGATTTGGGAAGAAGAGATTGTCATTCATATGCTGGCAAGGCCTTTTTGAAAAGGAAGGTTTTACAGGGTTTCCTAAAATGGCCATATTTCTGAATTCTCCTAATCTCCTCTGAAAGTCCCTTCCATAGCTGGATCCTCTCACCTGAGGGTGTGTTATCCACAGCTTGCACACACTTCACCCTGGGCTTTCACCTTTGCATTGACCCATAGGACCACAACTGCCTCAGCGATTCAGTGATCAAAATTTGGTATCTAATATAGCTGGGACTTTAAAAATTAGCACCAGAGATTTAAGCTGGTATCAGAAGCTGACTGGGAGCCAGGAGAAGGACTTGAGCACAGGCAGCCTGAGCCATGGAGAAGGCAGACAGTCACCTTCTGTACCTGATGGACCCTGTGTGTTGTCTTCACATTCAGCTTCAGCCACAGATGCTGGAACTAGGGGTGCTGCCGCAACCTCTGGCTTGAAGTGGTTTCCATCATAGACAGGGTTTACAGTTTGGTTCAGTGGCTCTCAGCACCCCCACTATGTACATTGTTACAGCTCTCCCGGCTTCAGCATCATTATCTTTGAATCTGTTGCACATGTTTTAATGAAAACACCAGAGGTCAGCTGATGTAGGTTCAGGGCAGTCAGTGGAAGCTGCTGGGTGCTCAGCATGCTTGAAAATGAAGCCCTTTAGAGAGAGGCCTTCCTATGGCCCTAGGAACCTAACTTGGTCTTCAGTGGTTCTCCTTTCTGTTAAGGAGCAGCTCTACTATGCGAATGGTTTTGCTAATCCTCAGGGGCAGTTGCTTAAGGCTAATACTGTATGTTAAAGATAGTTGCCTTCTTTTTGCTACCAGGGACTATATAAGGCAATCACCCTCTTACCAAAACTGGTCCACATTTCAGCTTCTGTTTCCTTAAACTCTGCCACAAAACCTGTGAGACTGGTCCCTGTGTATTATATGTTTCTAATGAATATTTATTAATGTACTATGTGCCTAATTATATATATATATACACACACACACACATGAATGCAGAAAACTCCCTGTCCCATTTTCCTGGATTAAATAAGAGTCTGGAAACAGAACTATAATTATAGAGGTTCTTTTATTAGAGAATTTATCTAAAATACAATATTCATTTCTTTTTTAAATTATGACATATATTATTTTAATGGAAAGATACTCTGTATTATATCTATGGTAATAAGTTTTATAGATATTTAATTTAAGACATTTTGTAATTTTAAAAAACCAACACACTAACATTAAGACATAATGGAGGTTGATGATACCATGGCTAACAATGTAAAACAATTTAAAAAAATATTTACACTTCAGTTTCTTAAAATCTAAGACATTTAATCATCAATATTAATTTGCTTTTCACTGTCTATGTTGACATAACTTAATCTCTTAAATCACATTTAAAATCTCCAAATTATTCTGTATTCCTGTGCTTCCAAAAAAGCTTCACATTACTGAGTACAGTTAGTTATATGTACTATCACCTGTAGATGAGGTTACTTAAAATGGCTTATTTTGCTGTCATTATATGCTTTGCCAAACAGCCAAAGTGTCAGTCACAGCAATTATCATCAAACATCACACAGATTTCCCCCCTCCCCACACATTAAGACCCTTTTTCTCTTGGTCTAGGGTCTTTCACATTTCATTAGCCAGAACTTCAGATGCTGAATGGAAGAAGTGAGAGATCTAGGAGAAGAAATGTTGCCAGTGCACAGCTAGCAAAGGTTTGATTTGTGCTTAGCAGAAGGGACTCCTCCCTCACAAACACAGCAATTTCTTATGAGCTCAGTGGAGCTTATTGGAATGAAGCTCTAACTTCTCTGCCCTTCAGAGGCTGGCATGGACGCCAGTTGTCCATCATATGGTACGGGGTCTCATTCTCAGCACTGAAACAAAGGCCACGGAGTTTGCACAGCTGGAGAAAAAAGAAAGGATCAACATTAACCTTCAGATGCATCCTCATGCCTCCGGAAATCTATTTACGCTATATACTGTGAGCCAGAGACAGTGCAAGTCTTAGGGTATGGGGAAAGGTGGCTTAAAGACATCTCTAAATGATCACCCTCATTGTTGTTTTGCTGCCCAAGGAACTCAGTGCAAGGTGTTTCACCCAAACCCTCTCCTGCCCCTGACACATCCTTTTTGGCCCTCGACATGCCCTCTGTGTTGGTAGGGCTGGGAAAGAGTGGTATAGAACCATCTAGGGGCAGTTTTCTGGACCTTTTGAATCACAGGAACCGCACAAAGGGGCCAGAGCTGGCTTTATATTTGTTCCAGGTCTGTAGATTAATTGAACACTTGGCTATTTTGAAAGCTGAAACTCTTTTGATAGTTTAATTTTAAATAACATTTACTTGATCCCTTTCTCATACTGGTGTAATTCAGCAATTACTTCAACAGAAGTCAGTGAAGCTATCCTGAGGTTAAACTGGTTTGAAGAAGAATCGGTCTCAGTTTCATTGGAATGTACTGTAAGAATGTGAAAGTCTATCCTAAAGCATGATCTGCAATTCCATAGCGCTCTAAAATAGAACCATCTCTGTGTTTAATTGTACCATAATACTCTTCTGTTCCAAAGGTGCCTTGGGACAGCCAGGCACTGAAATAGTTGAAGTAAATGTGCGGTTTCCCAAGCAGTAGGACATTTACCCTATACAATGTTTATTCATGTACTTCCATTAAAAACAAGTCTCGCTGTGCCATCTTTGAGGTACCTGCCAGAATAATCAACACACAGCAGACTCTTTAGATGTGGTCCATAGGGAGCTATCTGCCTATGTGTGATTTTTACACATACTTCAGCTAATTCAGAACTAATTGCAAAACCCAGCACTCCAGGACACCATGTGGATTTGTCACAGGCACTCAGCTATTCATGCTGCTTTCTCATGTGTGACACAGGTCAGACAAATATAATTCAATGCAAGTGACCAGCAGGTTAGAAATAGTCCTCATTTTAGTTAACTGATTCGGGACACCATGTCTGAGAACACACAGCAATAGAAATTGCTGACAGAAGTATACAAGGGGGCTGCAGCATTTTGTAACATGCAGAATGGTTCTGTGACACAAAATCATGCTACACTCTGATTGGCAAAGAGCTACCTTACAAGAGGCCTTTTACTTCAGTGAGAGACATGGTCCATGGCTCAGAATGCTGCAACCCTACATGTTCCAATAATCAGTAATTCAGTATAGCAATTCTTATGGATTGCTCCCCTCCTGACAAATATTCAAAAACTACCTATCTTTAGAAAAGCAGTTGCCAACTGTGAATTGAAGTCCAGTGAAAACATTCCCAACAGATGCTAAATTTTAGGATTTCCTTTTTCCCCAAACTGTTTTATGGTTTCTTGATTTGTTCAGCATTTAGGAACGACAAAATACATGATATGTACAGCTTTGGTCTTGAGTAGTTGGTTTAGAAAGGTGCAATGTGATAAATGGATTTGCAATGGGAAGAGATGAAGGATGGCTTTCCTAAGGGAAAAACACTCATTTATTTTGAGTATTTCCCCTCCCCTCTCTCCCGTGTTGTAAGGCTACATTCATGTCCCCTTGATCATCAGTAATAGTTCCTGTGGCTTTAAACAAAGATGTCGAGCTTAAGACTCACTCCAAAGCATCTTATTAGTAGTAATAGATACTGTAGTTTAATGAACATTTCCAATAGTTCGTCCTCTTCCTTTTCCCTGCACTTTTATTAAATTATGCCCAGCACCAGATCACAGCTTCTTTTCATCTCAACTCAATAAAGAAACACAATTATTTTATTATTGTTAGAGCAATAGCCATTGGTAAAATTGATTTAAGCCTTTGAGGGTAAACTAAAGCCCTTCAGATATGGCTTATATTTATAGACTCAAAGGTCCTATTTTTACCTTCTTAGCTAAACCACTGCAGACCTGAGGATGAAACTTGAATCTACATAATTTCATTAAGGAATGGTGCACAGAACTAACGCTCAGAGACACTCAACTTGTCAGTGCTCTACTCTGCTAGAGCATTTGCCAGTGTCATCAAGCTGCACAATATAAGAGTTTCTTGAGATAAAATGCAAACTTCTGGAAGCTGCAAATTTTCTGCATTCCAAGCAATGGCATTTCTACTTGACTCCTGTCCTGAGTAGCAGCAAAGTCCACTTCAACATACATATGAACACAGTTACCAGAGAGGGAGAAAATAACCATTTCAGATATGCGTATTGAACCAATGATTCATGATGCTATCTTCTCTTTCACAAAGCTTTGCAATCGGACTCTATTCTGTTCCAGTAATGTAAACTGCAGTGTCAGCAGAAGATCCCTCTGAAGTCTAAATCAAGGCGAATGAGAGTATTTTCATATAGAAAAATGACCTTTAGCTACTGAAGATTTACCTGTTCTGGACTGACACTGATGGGTTCTCTCAGAACATGCCAGATAACGCATTCAAGTAGAGGGGGAGTGGTCAGCGAACCTTGGTAAGTCCAGTAATCCAGGGATGCAGGAAGCAGATTCTTGGGATCAAAGTTTGTGAAGGAAGCTTGCTTGCCCTAAAAAGATAGAACAGCCTGTTAAAACTGTGGTGTAAGACTAGTTGGAAAATACACCTTGCTTGCATTAGTGGAGCTAGTTAAGGAAGGTTTGATATTTCTTGCCAAGTGTGTCCCCTGCTTTAGAAAGAGAGAGAGAGAGAAAGAGATGGATGCTAATACTGCACAGTACTGAGACCCTCCTACAATTTGCTGAAGTCTGTTGGGGTTAAAGTTGCTCAGCACCTTCCAGGATCAAGCCCTCAATCCTTGTTTCAAATGTCTAAAGTTACTGCCTCTTCCTCTACAAACATCCACAATCTATATCCCATGCACAGATGGCAAAAGAGACACAGCAAATATAAAAATGTGTGGGTCTGGTTCTGCTATGTGATGTTAATGGCCAAACTCTCATTGACTTCAGTCATTAGTGTAACTCATCTGAATTACACCAGGGATGAACCTGGTCCAGTATAACAACTATGGACTCCACTGCAACTGAAAGCCAGAAGCACACAATCATAATGGTATGAAATCATTATTTACAGAAATTCTTTTCAATTGCTGGATGACCTACAATGCTGAATATCTTCTATTAGCCTAATTTAAAAAAAATATTTGAGCTATCATCAGGGTAGGGATTACAAAGGCATCAGTGCTGATGACATGGAGAGCTGTTCTACTGTAGTACTTGCATATAGAAAGCAGAAGTAAGGAACTTCAATTTTGCACTTTTGAAGAAGAAGACTACAGAAAACAGCTGTGCTTGTTGTCAGTTGGCATAGAGATCATATACTACCTTGGTTTGAATGGAGTCCAGTGCATCAATAATTTTCTGTATCCCAGGCCTGTCATTTCCCACCTGTAATGCAAACCATATGAAAAGAATGTAAGTAGGTGTATATGTGGTGGCTTAGATTTACCACTATAGTTGTCTGAAGACACATTTTAAATTACATCATCACAGCACCAATTAGTTTCTTAGGCTAGGTCTACAATACCTGCCTGAATCGGCGGATAGAAATCGATCTCTCGGGGATCGAATTATCGCGTCTCATCGGGACGCAACAATTGATCCCCGAATCGACGCTCTTACTCCACCAGCGGAGGTGGGAGTAAGCGCTGTCGACGGGGAGCCGGGGAGGTCGATTTTGCCGCCGTCCTCACAGCGGGGTAAGTCGGCTCCGATAGGTCGAATTCAGCTACGCTATTCGCGTAGCTGAATTTGCGTATCTTAAATCGACCCCCGCTCGTAGTGAAGACCTGCTCATAGAGATTTCTCATAATGCTGAATGATGAAAGTGGCTGTGCCCTCACATTGTAAAGCATATGAAGTTTGCCAGTCAGCACAAATGACTTGTGCTGACTAATCTGCAGAAGTCAAGGATTGTGGGACAGAATAAAATGATTTTCTTTTAAGGTATGTGGATGTATTATTGAACTTTAACTGTTCATTTCTCAGAAGTCAAATTTAAACTCCCAACAAAACCAACATGACCAGAATAGAGGGAGCACAGTAGAGACAAATCATCTTCTTTAGCTGGTTGTGTATTTCTCAACCTTTATATTAAGCAAAGCAAAGCAAATTAATCTAGCACAAAACATCCTGCCATTGAGGAGTGACAAAAAGGAAAGGGAAATTAGAGGTTATTTATGCCTGGTTTACACATAGTTTTTATACCGTGTGATTTTTTTTTAATGGCATAGTTATACTAATACCAACCCTAGTGTGGACACAGTTATATTGGTATAAAAGGCCATACACCAATATATCTTACTGCTCTTCCCATACAGAAGGACTTATTGAGTATAAGCACCTTTATACCAATATAACTCTGGGAGACGTACCTCTTTAACTCTACGGTATTTCTAAAGCAGTACAACTTCTGGGTGTAGACAAGGCCTTAGATTGTAATCTTGCTGGGGTGGGGGAATATTTTAGTTCTGTGTTTGTACAGCACCTACCATGATGGAGCACCTAGGCACTATTGCAATACAAACAATACATTACAATAACAATAAGGTGATTGTTCAACTAACCTGCAGAAAAACACCTACAACAGTCAAGCCATCAGGATGCTTCACAGCTTCACCAAATCTACCATATTTTGTGTTCCAGTGAACCAAGTGAAGCTAGAATCAAGGAGACAAGAAATATTTATAAACAGCACCTTCCATCTACCAGAGCATCTCAACTAATAGATGACCATATACTAAACATTAACACAGATGGTGTTTTACTGCTGAAACTTGCAAAGTTTTGCATACAGCTATGAAATTGTTGCATCACTAATTTGTTTTTATGTCTCTTGTAGAAATTTGTGCGATAGATATTTATAATTATAAGAAGTGCTTCTCATACTTATTTTCAAAAACATTTCTAAATGCCAAGTATAGGCCACATCTTGCAGTCCTTATTCTGGTAAAACTCCAGTTGACTTCAGTGTGAATTTTGCTGAAGCAACGACTGCAGGGTTTGGCCTAATTATTTTAAATCTAAGTATTCTGTTTTTTTAAAAGGATGCTCTAAATAAACATGCTCTAAATACAACTCTGTTGACTTAGGGGAGTTATACTTGCTTACACTATGGCTGAGTTTGGCCTGCAAATTTTAAGGGAATGCCTTAAAAAATGACAGCTCCTGGAAAACTTTGGAGGACATTCTGTTTGGAAATAAATGTATCTCCACGTCAATCTACCTGGTTTGCACTCCTTCTTTGTTTTTGTTTTCTTAGTTGTTTTTAGGGCTGTTAAGATGAAGAGAGGATTTTGATTCTTCAGAAGCTCATCTGCTCTTGATGCTTATTCCTCATTTGAAATCATAACAATCTGTGCCATCATAACTATCTGCACAGGAAGTTTAGCAGATAATTATGGTGCCACAAGCAGAATTTTATAATCTCAGGGTTATACATTGTATAATCCTACAAGGTGCTCAGAGCCTTCAGAAAGTTGAAAGATGCTCAGTACCTTGTTAAAAAGAAGCAGAAGCAGGGCAGGTGAACTCTCAGGCCAGATTGTTACTGGCCCTGCCTGGGTGCACAAGGGATAGGAAAAGAAAAGGTGCAAAGAGCTACTTCTCTTATACTCCAGTGAAAGAGCCAGCCACAATTTCAATCCTTGTGCTACCTTAGTGCAAGAATTGAGAAACTCCACCTCTGCTGCCGCTGCTAGACTTCCAAAGTGGACAGAGAGGGGTGAGATGATAGTTAATATAGGGCTTTGTCCTCCTTCCACTCCAGTGAGCGGAGTAGAGGTGAGCCTGGGTCCAGGAGAGTGTAGCAAAGGGTGGTACAGCTACTGCTCTAGCATACAGTCCTATAGGGTCCCTGGAGGCATCCTGGCTGGGTCAACCAACATGTCTGCTTGAGGTCCCACTGCTGCAGGTCCCCATCACAGCTCCTCTTGCTCCCTCACTTCCACAGACCATGACTTGAAAACCACAATAAAGCCTTTAAAGAACCAAAAGTCTTGTCATGTCAGAGCAAACACTTTTGTTTTTAACACTAGAGACAAGAAAACGGGAACCTATGATATACAGATACACAGGGAATAGAATTTTTTCCAACGCTTCCCATGAGCCATTGGGAGTGCAGGGAACAGCCATGTATACCTAATTTGTTTGGTTTTTTTGCTCTGTCATGTCTGTGAAATGGCTGCAATGAAAATCTTTTACAGTGAATACCACATCTCGCTTGATACCATCCAGCACTTTTAGACTGTATCTACACAAGATTTTGCTTAACATTTCCCACCATTCTATAATATGGAGCTGCTCCAGTGTTGGCAGCACTAACGTAGACTAGCAGCTGACATTTGAACCACCATGTTTTCTTAACCAGCTAGAACTCCCAGGATTGCTGCCACTGGGGGAGTTGCACTGATGGGAAATTTTTAGAAAAAATGCCTGATGTGTACAGTCCCCTATAAGAAAAAAAGCCAGTCCTACCTCGGCATCATATTGCACTCCATCCACAGTGTGCTCAGAACCTTGGCCTTCACAGGAGCCCCAGTGAATGTGAAACTGAATCAGTCTGTAGGTTCCCTCAAGTGCTCCGCCTCTCAGCACTGCAAACCAAACAGCCTCCATTAGTATTTGCCTCACCTCCTTTGTTATGGAGCCTTACTCTAAAACAGAACACTAAACTTGGGGCTTCTAAGGGCAGGTCTACACTACAAACTTGTATTGGCACAGCTGCAACAATGCAGCTGCGCCGCTGTAGCGCTTCTGATGAAGATGCTCTAAGCCGATGGGAGAGTAGCTATGTTGATTTTTCAACCCCCTGAGCAACATAGTTATTATGAAGTAAGTGTGTACTGTAGACCTAGCCTAAGTGAGACTGCATTTTGTTGCTCTGCATGCTACCATGCTACTCTGGATTACTTTTTACAATACAATGCTATTACTAGCCCTACTCTATACCAGACATCTAAAAACTTAAATGCCTTTAATGTATGAGATTCATCAGCAATTTACCAGCCATGCTAATAATACAAGGTGATTGGATTTAGGAAAAGTTTGTGAGAAACTTTTCTGTCACGATATAAATAAAAAATTCTAGAAAGATGAATAGCCAGAATTCTAGGGCCATATAAAAATGTTCCACCAACATGCTCTTAAAGGCCTAAACCTGTTTACCTTATTCATGCAAATTGCCCTTTCATTTTATGTCACCTATTTAGGCCTTAATCCTGCAAAACTCATGGTGCACAGCAGGGAGCCCAATGTTGCTGTGCTTCAGTGTAAGTATGAGTAAAGGCCAGCCACAGGCACACGTGAGGTTAAACGCTAGGCATAGCCTTCCTCACTAAAGTGAGGTAAATCTCAAGCCTCTCCCTTAATCCCCCCAAAATATTGGCAAAATAGGGTACACAGGTTTGGAAGTGAGGCACCTATTTGGTATTACTCTTGCTACTACAGTAACTAGCTCCTAGTATAACCAGAGCACTCAGCAGCACTCTCAATTATGCAGGATTGGGCTCCCTGAATTCCCTATCCTGCTCATTAATTTTTAGTTTGTGTTTTATATTCCGAACAGCCCACCCTTGTGAGATGCAGGATCAAGCCCTGAGTCTGGAAAATGCTCAGGGCAGGTAAACTATGTCTTCATGTGCAGCACCAAGCCCAGAACAGGTAATAAGTAATCCTACTGAAGTCAATGGAGCAAATCGTGGGGGTAAACAGAGAAAGGTTTAGGCCAAATTGTTCTTCTGCAGAGCATTTAGGCCTCACAATCTAATTGTTTGTTTAAGCTGGTATTATCTGAAAAGCAAAGGTATTTTAGGAATAAAATTTAAGGTGATATAGACCTTAAAACCCAGTTTTGTACTTGCAAAGTGACAGAAAAGTGCTATATGTTACCGTAAAAGTGCCTGGATTATGCATCACGAACAAAATAGGTCAATGGAATAAAGATGCTTTTCTCTGTTTGCAAACAATCCATACATACAACTGTTCCAGTGTGTGTATGTGTGAGAGTATGTAAATTGAGTGCTGATTACAATAGTCCACTACCTGTTCAGTTTTGGCTAATTTTGACTATATGCAAGCACAGACTAAAATAGCCATTGACAAGTGGGGACAGGGGAAATTACAGTGGTGTGAAGGGAATGCTCAAGACTTTAGTCACAAGAAAATGCAATTTAAGAAATACACAAGAACCTTAGCTTCCACTGTCAAGTCTACAGCTTTGTAGGTATAATACAAGATTTGAAAAACTTAAGTGCAATATGCAAAATATACCCTTTGGGCTAGAGTCACAAAAAGCGTTAGGTACCTACAGTGGCAGTTAGGTGCCTACATCCCAAAATCAGGCCCCATTGGCAATCGCAAAAGCCCCACTCCACTGCCACTGAACCTGTAGGTGATTAAACTTGCTTGGCACCAAAGTTTCTGCCTTTAGACAAATACACTACTGCTCTACTCTAGGAGTCCGGATGCCTAAGCCCCCATTTGATGCACAAACTAGGGGATGATAGGCATTCATCTGCCTAACTCACCTGCGGGGCCCAATCTAGTAAGTGTGGTCAGAGACTACTTACTGGATTGGGCTCCAGATGTGAGCTCACACAAAACAGCTGTGGGAGATCCTTCATAACTTTTAGCATAAGGTACTCACCTGGGCTGGAGGAGACAGCCAGTTCAAGCCTCCTTTGAACTAGGAGGAGACAGGATTAGAAGAGGGATCTATTACTTCTTAGGCACACGGCCTAACCACTAGGCTATGGGACATTCTGATAGGGGAGGTACCTGCATTCTTTCCTGTGATAGCTGTTCCACTGTGGCTAAATAATTAAAGGGGCATTGGCATCTGGGTGTCCCACGTGAGTGCTCTAACCACCACGATATAGAGTCATTCTCACACTTACTCATGCTCTCTCTCTCTGGCCCAATGAATATTTAATTATTTAGCCACTGTGGAACAGCTTCAACAGGAGAGACTTAAGGTACACCATATTTGAATATCCCATAGCTCAGTGACTAGGGAACTCATCTGAGAGGTGGTAGATTCCTGTTCACATCCTTTCTTTCCCCCATAGTGGAGACAGGAGACATGAACTGAGGAGTCTTCTACATCCTATGTGAGTTATGAGGGAGCCCTTTTCATCTTTCCCTTCCTTCCTCTCCCGCCCCCCGAGATCCTTGCCAAACAGCATAGCTGTCTAACTCCGGGAAAGGGTTTACAGCTGAGAACCCCAAGCTGAGGGTGGTGCTACCCTGTAGACTGGTCTTATGTGCCAAATTCCCTGAGAGAAACTGGGCTTATGATACTATCCTTGCTTGGCCATTTCCCATTGGCTAGCTTAGGCAGGGAGCTGGCTTTTATGAATTCCATTTTTAGGCATCTGTCTCCCTTCATTCGTTGTATAGGGAGCCCTAACTCAGGCTTTGTGATTCCCAGTGATTTTCTAGGCACCTGAAATTAGACAAGGAAACACTGAGCATCACCACAACTAAGTTGCTTTAGGAATCTAGCCTGATATTCCTTCTTTGGCAACTAAATTCAAACCACAGAACTCCCGTCACACATTTCTCTTTGTGACTCAATAGTCTATTTTGTATTTGTCATTGTATTTTCAAACATATTAGTCAATGCTGAACAGATCATGCATCTTTCTACCTATTGCCAAACTACAAGGTGAGTGTATATAATGTGTGAAGAAAAGTGGATCTCTGCCTATGGTAGCTAGACATGTATAGATTTTATACTAAATAGACATTTTTAAAAGCCATTAAATTATGAAGGATGATTGTTTCAAGCAGAGCACTATAAGTTAGGACATTTTAAGTAAAAATAGTCATTGTGAATGTGTTTCTTTTCTAAATGAAATAACTATTTGCTTTGTAAAAATATTGCATAAACCAATTAGTCTATATTATGCCAAGATTCATTTTAAGAAAGAGGGAACTGCTCTAAGTTATAGAAACACGTCTCAATACCGTACTTGCTTTTTCTTTGGCTAACAGAGTAGCTGCTCATTACAGATATAAAAGGACTAATATTTCCTCCATTCTTGAATCCCATATAACATTTTACACAGTTGTGGCAGGTTGACCTGCTGCTATTAATCAATGGAAGGTGTGCTGAGAAGCAGAACCATACATTATTCTTAAATCCACCTGCAGCATGGTTTCTTTAGGAATCTTGTTAGGATTTTATAAAATTCACAAGGTGGACAAAAATCTCCTGAAAGTTTTCATTTACTTTTTCTTGTTCTGTGGGTCTCAAATCCAGTGCTAGCTTATTTTGAGTCACAGGATTTAAAAGACAGGAGCAGATCATTCAACAAAAATAATAATTAGATTAGTGTGAACAAACATCAATTCAACAGGCTTAATTAAAAAACAGCCCTCTTGTGCTAGTTTATATTAAGCAGTTATTAATGTTTGTTACCACTTATCAATGATGCCAAAGAACTGAAGTTTAAAATAAATCTGACATGCAAAACATACATGTTAGAAATTCATTTTTATCCAGAAAGACCTTTTTTAACCCTTAATAAATGTTATCAGCTGTCAACATTCCCACAATTTAATAGCTGCTTGAAGAACCTCAAGAGCATTTACACTGCGAACTTTCCTTCTTACTTGCTTCATCTATTTCACTTGCAACTAAAAACACGGTGAAGTCCAACCTTCTTGACTCCTTTCCTGAATGCTAGGGAAGTTTAAATCCAGTTCTGAATTTCCTGGCTTTAACCCATTTCTTCTTGAAACTGATTTTATTTTAAATCTATCTGCAAAAGATCCAGGCATATATGTCTCCTTCTGCCCTGTGGCAAAATTACAAGAAGTAGCTGTGGCACACAGAAGGAAAGAATGACTGTGCAGGAACAGTACCTCCGCACTGCATACCAACCTGCAGCCCTTCCATGGGTGCACAACACAAGCACAAGTAAATGTGAGCAGGAGACAATTGCTAGCTGAGTGTGGGATGAAAAAGGAAACAGCCAATCTCAGTCACATGTTCCTTTCTCAAAGCAGCATGTTCTATACAGCAGTAACTCTTATTCTGTGGCTAAGGCTCATGTGACAGATGATGGGCTACAAATGTGATTTTTTTTTCTATTCAATGACAACATGAGAGATGTTACGGTACAATAGGTTTTGGAGCACTTCATTTCAATTTAGAAGTGGGCACTGTATTTTTTCTGTATTGAGACAATGTTGAGCAGATTTGAGAGACAGTAATAATAATGATGATGATGATGATGAATACCCCGAGCAGTTACATAGAAGTTAGCATCAGAAGATCTCAAAGCACTTTACAAAGGAGGTAAAAGTGCTTTGACTCATAGGAAAGTTTAATGATCAAATCCTACTCGCCTTACCCATGCGAAAAATCCCATTGATGTCACTGGGATCCCTTGCATGAATAGATTAAACTGGATTTGGCCCTAACATTTCCTGGTGAGATCGTAGAGTGTGTAGAACTAAAAGGACATTTTTTTGATTAAGAGATATCTACACAGTCAAAGGTATCTATCTGGTTACATGGGCCTGGCCATTCCACTGTAAAAGAAGTTTTACTGAACAGTTACCTCTCCCATTTACTTCAGAGCATTAG